TGGGACTGTCATAGTTTTAGAACTGAAAGTCCTGTGTCTCAGGAACTTCCCCAGATCTTCAAAAATCAGGAAGGTTAGTCACTCTACAAAAAGCAAAGGTTCATTTTTCACTCAACTTACATGTTCATCATTCACATTTTCATCATTACATGTTATGCTTTGCTAAAAATATTTTTTACCCATAACTCCAGTCAGTGGACATTGCTAGGCTAGGGCATTGCTAGTCTGAAGGCAGAGAAAAAAGAGATTTAGAGGCCGGGTGCGGTGGCTCACACCTTTAATTCCAGCACTTTGGGAGGCCAAGGCAGGCGGATCACGAGGTCAAGAGATCGAGACCATCCTGGCCAACATGGTGAAACCCCGTCTCTACTAAAAATACAAAAAAACTAGCCAGGCGTGGTGGCGCATGCCTGTAGTCCCCAGCTACTCGGGAGGCTGAGACAGGAGAATTGCTCGAACCCGGGAGGCGGAGGTTGCAGTGAGCCGAGATCACGCCACTGCACTCCAGCCTGGTGCCTGGTGATGGAGTGAGACTCTGTCTCAAACTAAACAAAACAAAACAAAAAAAAGATTCAGAGAAGCATGCACTATCTCTTGCAGATTCTGCCTAGAAGTGACACAGATCATCCCTGCTTTAATTTTACTGGCTAGAACAGGTCACATGACCAAGCTGCCAGGATTGGGGCAGGATAGTGTATGCTGGGGGTGGGTGGGTGGTGGGGAACTTCAGGGAAGGAATCTGGGATATTTGAATGCTGCTTGGAGGAGGCATTCTAAAACATCTTGGGTGGCGGCTAAATGCTTCTTTTCGGAGCTCCCTGCATTTTGCAGTGCTCTGCCATGCTAATGATTTGAAACGGTGGCTAATTTGACAAGCCAATTGGAGTCCCCGTGATTGCATTGGACTCTCTGACTAATGACAAGAGATGAGCTCCCTTTCCTTAGCGCAACTTACAGTTGGATAGCCTTGGGCCATCACCCGGTCCCAATGTTCAAAATGTTGCCTTGTAAATTGTCTAATAAAGTAATAAAGAAAGGGACTTGCTAACTGATTTGTCTTTTAAGCATGGTAATGGGATTTTTTTGGGTAACATTGTTTTATGTTAGAATGCAAAAATTATCACACGTAATTAGAATCATTTCAATTCAAGTCTCTGCCAGGCCTCTGACATATACTGCAACTTGTACCACGTCGAGCAAGTCAGCTCGTAAAACCTAATCAAATACAATTTAAAAATGCAGTCAGATTTGGAGTGGTGCGGCAGAGACGAGGAGGGAAGGCTGCCCAAGCTGGCTTTGCCTTGGAGAGCGAAGAAAGAAAGAGGGAAGAGGGGAAAGAGATGGAAAGAAGGCAGGAAGAGAAAAGCAACCGATGTGTCTATTCAGCTTCATTAGGGGACCGACGGGAGGCAGGTGGTTGCTCTCTGCCAGGGTGGCCTCGAACCCGACTGGCTGTGGGTCAACCTTGATGCTCTTAATTATCCCCCCTTCAGCACCTCTCAGATCTGACATTTGTGCCCCTGGGTTTCATTTTCTTCAGGCCGACCGGGTTCCTGCCTCTGTATCCTCTTAATATTTAATCGTAATCATGCAATACATGTATGTATCATTCATCTCCAAATGCTGTAGTCTAAATGTTTAACCAGAAAGGCACACGGTGACTCACGTCATCTAACACACAAGCTTTTGCAGGGTGCAAGGACAGGCAGGCTGCTTCCCTCTGGGATCAGGATATTTATTGAGAAATATGTCCCTGATTCCGAAGATGTCCAGGTCAGGCCTTGCAGGGTAAGAGAGGGAGTTACCAAGCTGTCGCCTTGTTCCATGGGCTTGAATGAGAAGCTGCTTTCCTCGACTGGAGCTCCAAGCTGGAGAATGAAGATGACCTCCTGTGAGGAGTTGGTGGGAGCTGAGGCCCTTTGATTGTCCCATGATGTCCCCGTGCGCTGGTGACAGCCCAATTGTCCTCACTATAGCCTGGAATTTAGTTCCAGGCAGGAGCGGGGTGTCTGCCCAGGCTGGGATGTGTGGGAGGCATCGGAAGATCACGTTGGAGCAAGTGATGTGGCGGTGGAATAATGGCACCGTAAAGGGGAAGTGATGCCATCAGGGAATGGCAGCACGGCTCATGAATATTCTGGGCACTTGTACCCACAGCCAGAGCCAGGCCCGGCTCCTGATTCATCAATATTACAAATCGGCACGGTGGTGAACAGGCTGTCAGCAACTTTAATTTTTGCTTCAAGCCCAAGGAATTACAATGGAAGTATTTCCCAGGGACACCCAGTGAGAACGTGGGGCAGTGCCTTCTGCCGGCAGAGGGGGCAGAACTGGGTCTTGGGAGCTCTGAGTTCAAGACCTGGGCGCCCCACACTCAAGAGCTGGGTATCCTTAGGCAAGGCCTGAGCCCCCCAGGGAGAGCAAGAGGATGTGAGCACCTAGAATGTGCTGGAAACCACACTGCACCAATTCTGCAGAGGAGAGATGTTTGGCCCCATTTCACAGGCAAGGAAGATCGAGGCTCAAAGCAGGGTGGGTTGCCCAGCAAAAGGATGACGATGCTGAGACTGGAGCCCCATGTGAGTTGCAGGCATTGGTTTTTCCTTACCTGCCAAGTCATGTGATGATGGCTGCCTTAGAGGGTGGCTAGGAGGAAAAAATGAAGGACTGAGCCTGGAGTGCTTTGGAGGTTATCTTGACTCCTTGGGGGAAGAGCATTCAGAGTCTCGCTATTAGCATTGCTTACATCAGCTAACCCCTTTGCAGAGACTTTCCTCCATTGTGTCTCACTTCGTGTCCTTAGTGGCAGGGTGAGGGAGGCATGAGCATGAACATGAGGTCCATCTTACGGGAGAGGAGAGTGAAGCTTGGAGAAGCAGAATGCCTTGCCTGCCAAGGCTCTGCGGTGTAGAAGCGGCAAGATCACATTGGAAGGTCATGGTTGAATGTCCTTAGCAAAGTAAGGCGTGTAGGTGCTATGTACCCATTTTACAGATCAGAAATGGGAAGTCACAGGTGGAAAGCCAAAGGACTTGCCTCTACAGAAATTAGGATTTGTTTAAAAAGGAGGAGGGAAAGACGACCCCCTTCTCTCAGTCTTTCTCTCTTTATCTCTATTATTTAAAGTAAAAATAAAGTGAGAATAATCCTCCCTTTTCCCCTCTTGTCCTTCCTCCCTGCCTTTGATGTTTTTAGAAGTCAAGTGTAGAATGAGCAAAAAAGGCAGACTCATGCCCACTGAGGGTAAGGGCGATCGCCTGGTCATAAGTGAAACATTCAGTAAGTTCCTACCATATGTCAGGCTGTGTAGGGAGCGGACAGGGGTGTTGACATTTCTATCAAGGAATTCAGAGTCTTGGGATTTCAGGGTGTTGTTACCCAGTGCAACCTTGAAAATGTCTCTCTCACTTGACGGAAAGGAAAATTCCAACTGAGAAGGCCTTCAAACCGCTATCTCTCATGTAAAAAAAAAGTAGTGCAGTCATGAAGTGAGCAGACTCAGAAATGGGACTGGCGGGAGTGAACCTGGGCTATTACCACTTACTAGCTGTGTGACACGAAGCTAATTGCTTTACTTCTCTGGGCAGCAGTGCTTTCCAATAGCAACTGGGGCTACTTTGCTGTCAGCAATGGGAATTTCCAGTAGCAACTGAGAGTGAGTTTTGTTAGCGATGGGAAGGTGATTCCGGAGTGCCTAATTCTGATCTGCCGTTGATCTCCCCATCCTGGCAGGATTTTGGGCTGACAGAGTTTCGGTGCGTGATAAATAACAATCAAATAAGAAAGTATTCTTTATTCTTCATCTCCAAGTTCAAGAGAGACTTCTGATTTCCCATAAATATAAATCTTGGGATCTGTGTGCTCAGGATTTCCTGTAGGGAGAGAAAGATGGCCAGATGCTGCGAGGGGTTCTAAGTGCATGTACCCCACCAGCTATATCAAGCAAATAAAGACCAGGGGGATGGCCAGAGATTCCCCCAGGATAAAACCCTGCCTTGAGAGAATCAGGCAAGTGGGTGCTGATTTTGTGGCATGGTAACCCTGTCCATAACTGAAATGTGGTACAATGTATATTGTACACTGTACAAATAAGAATCTCAGTGTATTTTTCTCTGGTAGAGAGCTGGAAAAAATGGTTACCAGAAAGGGCAGAAGAGTCGGGTTGAGATATGAAATTCCCTTCTAACGTCTTAATTAAAGGTTTGTCTCGGCCGGGTGCAGTGGCTGATGCTTGCAATCCTAGCACTTTGGGAGGCTGGGGTGGGTGGATCACCTGAAGTCAGGAGTTCAAGACCAGCCTGGCCAACATGGTGAAACCCTGTCTCTACTGAAAATACAAAAAATTAGCTGGGTGTGGTGGCAGACGCTGTAATCCCAGCTACTCGGGAGGCTGAGGCAGGAGAATCACTTGAAGCTGGGAGGCGGAGGTTGTAGGGAGCCGAGATTGCGCCACTGCACTCAAGCCTGGGCAACAAGATGAGATTCTGTCTCAAAAAAAAAAAGGGAGGGGAGGTTGTCTCATAAATGAGACAAGTTGGGTAAATTGCCTCACATCACATCCTAGTGCCTTGCACATACAGAGTGAAAATTAGAGTTGCTATTATTGTTTCTATCAGTGGATACCCATTATTAGCCCAACCTACCCTTTACCTCTAGATGAAATTAGAAGCCGTGTGTCCTGACTGTCTGCATTCTTCAGGAAGCATCAGGAAAACAGAAACCCCCCTAGGTATTTCAATCAGGAAGAGATTTAATACAGGGAATGCAATGCTAAGAAAACTGTTGGAAGGTCGGGGAACTTCTGCAGCACTTAAGATAGCAGGGTGTGCAGGGATTCCTGCAGAGCACCCCTACTCATGTCCTCAGCTGCCTACAGCACCGATGTGGGTTATTTAAGAGAAACTGTCCAGAAGATGCTGGGAAACACCATATGTCTGCTTTCTACGGAAGTCCCGCTGGTGGTGGGACAATAATGCTTTCTTCTTCTCTCCTGTCTCCAGATCTCACATGAATACTTCACATTGAGGGACGCTGAACTGGAACTCTACTGACGAAGGAGCTGGGCAAGTATTGTTCCCAGGCTTCTAGCCTCATGATGCAGGGGAGTATGTGGCAGGAAGCCCCAGTGGCACTGAGATGCCAACAGTCCAGCTCTCTGTGCAGAGTCCCCCACCTTCCTAGAGGTTTTCTAACTGTGCTTGGGGTCCCCAAGGAATGTAAGGAACTGTAAGGGGGGCAACTATGAGATGCACAGAATTTCACGTTCACTTCCTGCTTTCAACATGATCAGCTCAACCCGTTTTGATCATTGGATTTTATTTGAAAAAAAAATTTCACACAGAGTTTGACTCTCATTGGATCGCAGCATGCGGGTTGAAGAGCGTTAAAGAAAAAATTATTCTGACATATGTGAAAACAGGAGGACTTTATCTAGGACTATCTTGTTCGGTATCAAGACAATTGCGATAGGGGAGAGAGATCAGGTTCAACTTCCAATGCAACAAGTGAAGATTTGTGATCAAGGGCGGCAGGTTAGGGAGTGGGTAAGTGGATGGAAAATCAGTAAGAGGGGTGATCAAAGGTAGGAGGGATTGCTGCTGAAGGCAGGCCAAGGTGAACAGATATTAACTGGGGGACAGTGGAAAGATGAGGGATTTGACTAGATATGAAGGACGACCAGTTATGGGGGAGGCGGACGGTTCTCCCTAAACCAACTCAGCAGGATTCTTACTACAGCTGGGCTCTGTAGGCCCTGCAAAGACAGGTGCCAAGGTCAAGCCTTAGCCAAGAGGAGGGTTCAGAGGAGCCTGACGACCTCTCGGTCAAGGAGAGAATCTTTGTCAAGAGACAAATGTAGCTTTATAAAAGGACTACCAGGATTCCTCTGCTGGTTTATATGAAGCAAAGGGAGGCACAGACCATGTTGCCTTGTCTTCTCCATCTTTTAGGATCCCGAGCACAAATCTTGCTTCTCCTCCAGCCTGCAGTCCTCATGCAAATAGATGCCTTAGGGTAGGGCAGGCCCAACGTGTCAAATTTCCACTCTTAGGCTCAGCTGGGATCTACAGTTCTGTTTTTTTTTTTTTTTTTTTGTGATTCTATGGTTTTTAGTATTCTTTGATTCTTTAGCATTATATCCTCAACTTCTGTAGCTCTTTGATTTTGCATTTCTTTGATTCTGAGATATGATGATCCGGGGACGTGGACTCTCTGGCTCAATTATTTCAAGAAATAATCTTTATTCTCTTTTTTTGGATTAATGTTGGATTAATGTGTCTAAGCTCCCCTTGTGAGACAATGGTTCATACCAGGGTGGGACATCAGGGGCAAGGGATGATGGGGGTGCCATTGACTAAGAAAGTCTCATAGATTGGCTGTGTCTAAGGTTAAAACCAGAGCAACCACACCTGGGATCAGGTGTTAGGGGCCATTGTGTGACCAGGAGAGCGAGAGGGTGCCGGGTGGTTAAAAGTGGGTGCACGGAGGATGGAGTGGGAGGTGAGGGGCAATGAACGAAAATGAAGCAAACGTTGTGTATCTGATACGGCAGAAAAGGGATGCTGAAATTCCTCCCACTGGGTTTGGGCAAATCCTTATGGTTCTCTGTGATAAGCCCTTTCTATCTCCTTTCCCTGTCAGACCTTCCTGCTATATCACACCTCCCTACCAGGGAGCTCAATAGCAATCTGTGTATTTCATCTAGGTCAGTTGCTTAACAATCCTAAGGAACCAATATGAATTTAAATGACTGCCTTCTAGATACAACACAACAGTAATAGCAGTGATAATAATGACTTCTAAATTAGTCAGCATCAGCCGGGCTGCTGTAACAGACAATCCCAAATCTCAGAAACAAAGTTTATTTTTTACCCCTGTGGAGTCCACTGTGGGCCTAGGTACCATGATCCATGTGGTGACTCAGTGATCCAGGCTTTTTAAATTCTGTACTGCAATTTGAGGATGCTGTGTCAGGGGATGAGAGAGATTGGAAAATCTCATGGGGACAGCACACTTCCTTGGCCTGAAGTGATGCTCAGCACTTCCACTCACAAAGCCAGTCATATGACCCCCTAGCTGGAAGAGGTCAGCCAAGGTAGTTTTCTGTGCATCCAGGAAGAGTTAATACAAAACAACATTTAGTGAACATGTGATTTTCTCTCTGTTGCAATTACCACTTCTTTTTAAATAGGTATCACAAGACAATTACCCTGCAGCAATTTATTTAAATCATTTCAAAGATCCTTACAGATGAGGAAACTGAGGCCCGGATAAATGGAATCACTTGCCTAAAGTCACACCTATAATGGCAGATCCAGAATTAGAAGGTGGGGTTCGGTTTCTCCATAACCTGTGTCCCTCGCTGTTCAGATGATGGATCCTCAGACTTTGGGGGAGCTGTGGGGTAACTCCCTCCACCCTTCAGCTACAGCCTGGAAACCATTGCCTTTTCTGCATACTGCAGCCACGCCTGGATCTGTGCAAGGAAACACACCCGCTGACTCAGGAATCCTGCCCTGGGGATGTGACACTCGAAAAAGGTGATCAGTGGTTCCTGACATTTTTTTTTTTCATTTAGGCAAAAAATACGGAAAGCATATTTTGATCTTTGATTTTCTTCCATTTCCCATCTGTTCTTTATTAGGAGTTCAAACTTAATAACCTTCCAGAGTTGGTATCAAATTCAGACGCTGACACTCCTCGGAGAGGTTCTTTGAGGCAACAGGATGGAAAGGATCACTCTGCTTTTGTTTCTCTCCTGCTGCTCTGTCTGTAAGTCCATCTGTTTCTCTTGCCCTCTGTCTAGAATCCTTCCCATTCAAAGGTCAACCTGACTTGTGGGTGAAGGAGGAGATGACGTGCTGTATCATTTCAGGGGTGCTGAATGGATCCCCTGTCCCTTCAGGTGTCTCCCGTGAGTGCTCTGCACATCAAACCCCACCATTCAAAGATCTTCTCTTTAGCTTATAAATCCTCTGAAGGTACCTTTTCAATGGTTACGAAAACATCTTAAACTAAGCAGATTTCAAAGGGGAAAAGAAGGCAGAGAAGAAAGAGCGCAGTTGGGGCAAGAGTGCTGACTTGGGTCAGAAAACCTGGAGTTGAGTTACGCATAATCCATCTACCTGGAATATGGGGTTAGCCAGTCACCTCACCTCTCTGACTCTCTTTCTTCATCTATAAAATGGGGTTGTTGTAGATTCGTCTTACAGGGTCACAGTGAAAATGAACAGAGTTGATAAAGACAACTTATATTCACCCACTGTTTTTGCAGCATAGCAGAAAAATACTCTGGAATATTAACCAAGGTCTTGCATATGTGTGTGTGTGTTTTTAATTCCATGCATTTATTTATGTCCTGTGACCAGCGTCCCCCTTCAGGCAGCAGCAGCCAGACCATGTGGCATTTATTGCCTCAAGGAAAGAATGACACAGCACAGAGCAGACAGGGACCAAGTCAAATTCTTGGCTTTCGAATTTGAAAAGCCAGCCAAGGTCTGGGCAGATGACAAAAGATATGGAAAGATGCAAAAGCGTAGCATCCCTGTTTCCAGAACAGAAAAGACTCTGAGTTGTAGAACAGACACTGATGCATCCTTTGAAAGAGTATAAAGGCCGGGCGCGGTGGCTCAAGCCTGTAATCCCAGCACTTTGGGAGGCCGAGGCGGGTGGATCACGAGGTCAAGAGATCGAGACCATCCTAGTCAATATGGTGAAACCCTGTCTCTACTAAAAATACAAAAAATTAGCTGGGCATGGTGGCGCGTGCCTGTAATCCCAGCTACTCAGGAGGCTGAGGCAGGAGAATTGCCTGAACCCGGGAGGCGGAGGTTGCAGTGAGCCGAGATCGCGCAATTGCACTCCAGCCTGGGTAACAAGAGCAAAACTCCGTCTCAAAAAAAAAAAAAAGAGCATAAAGGGCTTAAAGTGAGGAGTGAAGGAGGGTTTTTGCAACATCAGACGTGAGCGAGAACATCTCAGCAGAAGCCAGTGAGATAAATATACCGTCAAGAACCAGATAAACCTCATTCCTGACACCCTGTGGGAGGCCAGCCTCCCAGATGGGCTGCCGTGAGTCCCATTTCCTGGGATTCATACTCTCATTCGGTCTCTTCCTTTATTATTTATTTATTTTCAAAAGACAGGGCCTTGCTCTGTTGCCCAGGCCAGAGTGCAGTTGTATGATCACGGCTCTCTAGAGCCTTGAACTCCTGTGCTCAAGCGATCTTCCTCAGCATCCCGAGTAGCTGGGACTACAGGCATGTGCCACCACATCCGGCTAATTTTTAATTGTTTTGTAGAGACAGGGTTCTTGTTATGCTACCCAGGCTGGCCTTAAACACCCCGGCTCAAGTGACCCTCCTGTCTTGGCTTCCAAAAGCAGTGGGATTGCAAGTGCAAGCCACCACCCCCCGCCTCCCTCTTCATTATATCAGTACTGCCTGTGTGATCACTATTGTGCAGAGGAGGTGACGTGTGACTTCTGAGGTTATGTCACGAAGGAATTGCAGCTTTTGTCAAATCCTTTTGGATCTCTTGCCCTCAGGGAAGCCATGTGAGGAGGACGTCTGAGTAGCTCTGTGGAGAGGCTCCCAACCAACAGCCAGCATGAACTTGCTGGTCATGTGAGCACACCGCCTTGGCAGTGGAGCCTCCAGCTCCAGTCAAGCCATCAGCTGAGACTACAGCCCTGGCTTGTATGTGACCACAGCCTCATGAACAACCCAGAGCTAGGCCACCAAGGTAAGCTGCTCGTGAATTCCTGACACACAGAAATCATGTGACATAATACATGTTCATTGTCACTTTAAGATGCTAAGATTTGGGGTAGTTTGTTATGTAGCAACTGATAAACAATGCACTCAAGTTGGCATACTGCAGTCCCCCCAGAATTTGGACACAGCCCTGGAGAAAGTGGGTAGGGGTCCCTAAATGAACTAGGATTATATTTTTGCCACCTAGAAGGACACAGGCTGTAATAGCAATTATACCCAGTTACAGAACGGTAAAGTTATATTTCTAGACTTCCTGAGTTTCTAGACTACCTGAAACATTGCAACTCATTTAAAGGAGCTTCCAAATGTATTTTCAGAACTCTGGAAGTCTGGGGAACACAGGACAAGAGTCACTAGATTTTGGGAACAAGAGTGCTCTTTTCCCCAAGTGGGCAAAAAGGGAGCTTGAAGATACATGCTTCTCCAATTTCAGAATTTGGGGGGACCGCTCAGCCTGTGCCTGTGTCTTCTCCAGGCTCCCTTTTGCTCCTCATTGCACCCCCCTCTATGAGCATGGACAAGCTCAGCTTGATGCCCAAGCCCTTCAATTTGTCTTGTTAGAAAACCCTTGTGTTAAAGAGACCATTAAAAAAAGAGGGAAAGATAAATTGCCTGAAGCTGCAAGACTCAGGAGGCAAGGGAGAGCAGGTGAAGGGAAGCAGGCCTGTGATTAGAGGGCAGGGGAGGCACAGGAGCCACAGCAGGCAAAAACCTCCATTGGAGATGTCAAAATATTTGAAAATCCTCTTCCTTTGGTCAATTGAGTTACCAGAATTTTTTTTTTTTTTTTTTTTAATGTGGAGAAGAGTCTGAGATAGAGGTTAAGAATATAGTTTCCAGAGTCAGGCAGAGCTGGGCTGTGTCTCATTCTAGCTGTTGTCAGACCTCAGGCGAATCTCAGAACCTCTCTGACCCTCGGTTTCTTCATCTAGCAAGAGGGGACAATGATAGACCTGTAGAATGGCCCTAAGTCTCCACCTTTCTCTGTGTATGTGTCTTTTGGAATGTGACTCCATAGCTCTTCCCATGATGAGACAGAGTCCATTTCCCCACCCCTTGATGCTGGGATGGTCACGTGACTTATTTTGGCCATAAAATGGGGCAGAAGTGGTAATATGTCCGTTCTGAGCCTAGGTCTCAGGAGGCCTTGTGCAGTCTGTTCTCTCTGACCCTGTGACCCACATAGGAAGAGGCTTGGCCTGTTGGAGGATGACAGGCCAAGTACAACAGACATAAAGTGTCTCAGCTGACCCCATTCCAGAACTCTCCTTCCAGATGACCACAGATGCATGAGTGAGCCAGCCAGTATCTGCTGAGACATCCCCAGAAAGACAGAACATCCACCTGACCCATAGACTCATGGGCAATCATGAATAAATGGATATTGTTTCAAGCTGCTAGGTTTGGGCTTGGTTTGTTACACAGCAGTAGCTAACAGCTACACTTCTGTTTTAAGGAGTTGTGAGGATAAATTGCTAGGGTACAGAAAAGTGAATAGCTGTCATAGCTAGTAGTGATTGAGTGCTGGCTCTGTGTGGTACTGTGCTCAGAATTGGCCTGCATTATCTCAAAGACTTACAGAGGCTAGAAGAGCTGCCGCTGAAGATTCTAGAAGTGTTCAAATATGATGCCTGGCACGTGGTACGTGCTACTTGTATGCTAGTCATTGGTGCTGCTGATGCTTGCAGCATGTGGAATTCCTGACACATGCCTCTGATTTGGTAGTGGGATCTGAACTGTGTAATCTGTGTGTTCAGAGATCTTGGGAAGTCTTTAGCCAAGAGCAAACCAGGAGGGAGCTTTTGTGATGGAGAGGTTTCTTATCTGGGTAGGGTGGGGAACAGGCATCAGCCAGGGTGCGCCACACAGTCCCCTCACTAGTGTGGTCCCTGGACCGGCAGCCTCAGCCTCCCCTGGGCTCTTATTAGAAATGCAGAATCTCAGGTCCTACCGCTGCTTACTGAATCAGTAAGCGCATTTTAACAAGATCCCCGGGGGATTTGTGTGCGTGTTGGAGTGTGGTCAGAGCACTCTTCCCAAGCTGTCTGTGCTGAGGCACCAGTATTTTTTTTTTTTTAATTCCAATTTATTGCAGAATGACAGTTTAAAAAATATAGTAAAAAAGCAAATTCCTAGAAAAATTAAATGAAAAACAAAACATACACAATCTAAGCCCTTGTTGTTTTATCATATTCAATAATACAAAATTGCTGTCCGCCAAATTATGACAAAACTTTCTAAATACTTTTCTTTCTCTGTGTGTGTTCTTTGTGCATACCTCACTGTGGACAGGTCACAAGTGACTTGCCACCTGGCATGGGCTGTGGACGACACCACACGTAGAGCTATCTTAGAGTTGGCAGTGATGATACGAATGCAATATGATCACACAATTGTGTGCTTGATATCAGCTAGTCATAAGGGCTTACAAGCTTAAATACCTAGAAATCCTCCTAGGAAACTGTGGGGCAATTCATGTATTCATCTTCATTTTTGTAGATTAGGTCATTAAGGCCCAGAGAGGTTAAGCGGCTTGTCTGTGGTCACACAGCATACAAGCGGAGTAGCCTGAACGCACCTGTTTGACCACTCCAAGGCAGAGGGAGGGAGAGGAAGGCACCATCAGCGAGAGGCACAAGGACATAGTCTCTTGTACCTTATGTGAGTGACAGTCATCAAACCAGTCATGGGGTCGTGGCTATCTGTGTAACCTCCTTGCAGCGGAGGCTGGAACCTAGCAAACTCTCTACCAGCCCCGGGGTTGGGCTGGGAGGATCACCCTCGCATCTCACTCTGGCGCAGCCTGCAGGAAAGGAAGCCTTCTGTGGCATTTACCACCCCAGCCTCCCGCGTTGCCAGAGGTGAGGGGCGAAGACCGCCTGCCGACCGCCTTCTCCCTCTTGCTGTCTCTTTTTCCTGAAGTCATGGGAGCTGAGCAGGAGGCCGGGGGTCTGGCAGCCTGGGTGATAGCTAGTTATCGACAGGTTGATGGCTGCCCCCGAAGACTGCCTGAGGACATCAAGGCGGAAGCCACTTCTGAGTCCCGCTGCTCCCGGAGAGCCGGCTGCCGGCATCTCTGCCCAGGGCTCGGCGCTTCCCCTCACCATCTCATTAATCCTGATTCACAAAAAAAAGGCAGCAGGCAGGGGCCCTCTTAACAGGCCGAGCGGGCGGCTGATTTGCCTTCACTGAAGACAATAGTGCCCAGGAGACCCGGCATTGCTGAATTATTCAAATCAGCCGTGGCAGGGAAATCTGAGGACACAGAGTGGCTGGCGTCCCCCGGCCCCCGCAAGCTGCCCTCCTTCCCTGCCCTGGGGTGGTGGTACCCGGCGGCTTGGGATGGCTGGCACAGATCCCCTTGCCAGAGATGAGGGTTGCTCCTGACCTTCCCTCCTCCCTGGATGGAAGTTGAAATTGGTGTTGATCATCTCTAAGCACCTTAGAGCTCTAGTAATGGATCCAAAATGACATTTCCCACCTGCTGATCCCTGGGGGGACATTCTGACAAGGACTTCGGGATAAACGTGATGGGGCACGGGAAGATGAAGGCAGCAGGAGATGGCTGTTCTGCCAACGTGTGTTTGTGAACGCACATGGTGTGTGTGTGTCTGTGTGTGTGTGTGTGTGTGTGTGTGAGTGTGTGTGATTCAAAAAGCAGAGGATGTGGGTTGAACCCTGGCTTGGCAAGTCTTGGTTTTCTGCTCCTGGAAAAGAAACGCAATGAATAGGCAGGTCTCCCTGACAAATGTGGAGATTCAGGAGCAAAACCACTCAGACTTGGTGCTGGCGTTGGGTGAAGACAGAGCAAACAGAGTTATGAGAGGTCACATGAAACAGACATGAACCCAGCATGATGGGCTTCCAGGGATGGGGGAGCCTTGGAGATTATGAGGGGTAAACTGAGGCCCGGAGAGGGGCGGGGACTTGCCAGAGTTGTTAGTTTGTGGCCAAAATGGAAGGAAAAGCCAGGGCGTTCAGCTTGCAGTCGGAGGCTGTCTTTGTTAATAATACCTACCCCTGACCCAGCACAGACAGCTAAGGGCTTCTGAATATATTTCATTGTTAACTGTATGATAATCTCATGAGGCTGACACAACTATTATTTCCATTCTACTGATGAGGAAATTGAGGCTTGCAGAGATTCAGCTGCTGGACAGGGTAGAACGTGACAATCTGGGATGGGAAAGGTGGTCTGTCTTACGCTGGACCCTTAATTGCTGTGCCTCAGTGGGAGGTCAGAGACACCGGGACTCCGGATTGCTCCAGAACATGCCTCCTAGCTAAGGCTGTAGCATCAGTTTGTGATGGCTTCCTGAGTAAGCACTGCCACTTACTTGTGGTCCTCCATGGGAAGGAGCACAGAGTTCAGCCCTTCCCAGAAACACTGACTTTAAAGCACCCTCAGCCGTCCCAGGCATCTGAAGGGAGAGTCCTGAGGAGGGGACGTTGAATGTTGGAAGGAAATTTATGAATGAAGAGGTTCGGAGTCTCTGGGCACAAGATCCACCTCTTTAGGGGAAGCCAGTTGTGTCTTTTGTGTAAAACTGCCATTGGCAGGACAGCTTTCTCTAGGAGATGCAGAAGCTGGGGATGGTGGGGGTTAAACCAACCTTGCACATTGGTGGGAGGGGATACAGGGTCAGTGTGTGAATAACAGCCTCTACTTTTTTGCACCAGCCAAACAACAATAATAGGAGTGGGAGTGGTGACCTGTGTTGAGGGTTCACCATGTGCTAAGCCCTTTTTTTCCCCCAGGCTGGAGTGCTGTGATGTGATCTCAGCTTACTTCAACCTCTGCCTCCCGGGTTCAAGCAGTTCTGCCTCAGCCTCCTGAGTATCTAGGATTACGGGTGTCTACCACCATGCGGGGCTAAGTTTTGTATTTTTAGTAGAGACGGGGTTTCACCATGTTGGCCAGGCTGGTCTCGAACTCCTGACCTCATGATCCACCCACCTCAGCCTCCC